CTTTTTTTTACAGCCTCGCAAAAGTTCAAAAATATGAGCTTTTTTAATTTTCTCAAAAAATATTTAACTTACAAAAAAAAGTTTCGTACAAAAGTTGTTTAAAAAACAATTATAAACAAACAAATAATTTTATAGTTTTTCATTTAAACAAATATTTTTCGAGTTACATTACTTTTACATTTATTATCTTCCACATCTTCTACGCTCATATCAGCTGTCCTCGAATCGCATTCAATAGCATCCCTCCATCTCTTTTTTGGTCTTCCTCTATCTCATCTTCCTTCAACATTCATTTCTATAACTGTTCTTACAGTTTCCGATTCTTCTCTCCTCATAGCATGACTAAACAATCTAAGTCTATTTTCTGTCATCTTATCCACGATTGATTAACCCAACTTCCTCTTATATGCTCGTTCCTTATCCTATCTTCTCTAGTCACTCCACTCATCCAACTAAGCATTATCATTTCTGCTACACTTATTCTCTGCTCTACTTTCTTATCAACCGCCCAACACTATGAACCATACACCATAGCTGGCCTCACAATTTCATACTGAATTTGAAAACTATAATTAGTTTTTATTCATATATTATATTTTAAAATCAAAGTACTACTAATCAGGATATAATTAAAGAAATAAGAGTTGATGTTGCTTTTGGAATAATCCACCAATTTCTCTAAATGAAACACTATCTACAGATTTGCATCGAAGCGTTTCTTATGATAGTGATTTTAATCACTGTCAGATATCATAATACTTGATCCAACTATACTACGTCACCACTGTGCCGTGACCCCCCTGTGCTGGGTTTTTTTAATATAAAATGTATAATAATATAAAAAAATTGAAGGAAAGAGTATTAGAACTATTCGTTTAAAGAATAACTGTCTAGTATATTAATAAAAACCTGTTTTTGTCATTAAAATCGATTACAATAATTTTATCAATTTTTTTTTAATTTAAAGGCATGGATATTACAGTTGTAAAAATAACTAAGTTATGTGGAAGTAAAATATACATTAGGAAATTATTTAAACATTTCCTTAATTTAATAAATTACTTGGCAAACGTTAACAAAATATTTTGATAAAATTATATCATATTAATAAATTTAATTAGGTGTACATTTTAATATTACGAGTGGATTAAAAATTGTTATGGCTTATGAAAAACTTAAAAATAAATAATGTAAAACTAAATATTGTACTGTAAATAATATTTTCTTATGTAGAAGTATAATTTTATATTTTCTGAGCCAGATGATTTTCCAAATGAATCATTAATTTTGATTTTGAGTTGATAAACATAAAAAAAATATTTTTTAAATAGTTAAGACATATTTATACAATAAATAAACAAATACTGGATTAATAGTTATTTCTAATTATTTTTTTACAACTTATGAAATTATGTGTTTGAAATTGATAATGCAAACAATGTTCCCGAAATATGAATACGCGATTTTTTTGTAATTTTTGTGACTTTTTAAGCTAAATACTTTTTAATTTTAAAGTAGTATTAAAAATATATTTTTTAATTTTAAATAATAGGCTCAACTGATAAATTCGTATTATGTACTTAAACAGTTAATCAAAAAAAATATTTTCTCATCAAAGACAGTATTTTAAACATAATAAATAAATAAATAAAAAGAGATGGATTTTTTTATATATATTTTTAATGTATATCAATTAATCAAATCGTATGGAGTATGATTATAAATAATAGACAATAAATATAATTATAATTATTTGTATTGAATTTTTACTATCCATTTAACAAGATTTTTAAAAAGTAATATTTATATAAATGTTTCTGACGAATCCGTTGTTATCTTACTTGATTATTTTTTCTATTTCATTTTTTATTCTATTCTCTATTTTAACATGACAACCATCCACAAATTTTAAAGTCGTTAAAAACATAAGTCTTAAATCATTTGTTGTAGGACATTTATCAGATGGTAAAAATCGAAACTTTCGTATCATTGTCGAAATTACGGTTTTCATCTGTAGCATAGCGTATTTTATCCCTATACAGTTTCTATAACCTGCACTAAATGGAATATATGCATATGGATGGCGATTATGGCATTTTTCTGGTAAAAAATTATCAGGATTAAATTTTTCTGGATTTTCATAATATTTTGAGCTAGTTTGTAGGCCAATCACAAAGATATACAATGATGTATCTAGAAAAAATTTTGTAAAGTACAATTATAATATTGCAAAAATTCAATAAAAATTTTAATAAATATTTACTTGCTGGTATTATGTATTCTCCTATTTTGGTTTCCTCTTCTAAGTTTCTACCAATAATTGGTAATGGTGGATAAAGTCTTAGCGTTTCTTTAATTACTCTTTCTAGATACACCATTTTCTGTAAATCTTCATACGTTGGTTGTCTATTCAGATCTCCAACCGAAAATATTTCTTCTAATTCTTCAAAAACCTACTTTAAGAAGAAATGGTTAATGAATTTGTTCGTCAAAATATAATTTTATTATTACCTTATTTTGAACATGTTGGTGATGAGCTAACATAAAAATAATACAAGCATTTGCCATTGCTGTAGTTTCTTGGCCTCCTAAAGGACAACAAAAAAAAAAACAAGTTCACTAAAATGCTCAACTGTTCAATATATTTTTAGACCCAATTTTCAACTAGAAATTAAACATGTTTAAAGGTTTCTTAAAATAATATAATATAATAAATAAATAATATTGATTTGGTCATTTTTGAAAAAGTANAAATGTTTCTTAAAATCATATAATATAATAAATAAATAATATTGATTTGGTCATTTTTGAAAAAGTTATGGCAGTTTTAAGTAAAAAAAATTAAAAAATTTTGAAAATTAGCGATGTTTAAATTTGTATTTTTTTTGGTGATTTACCGGGGAACGAGGGAAATTTTTTGAATTTTTTAGGGTAATGTCTTCGACAAGATATAATTTTTGATCTTTTGACGTATCGTTGAAAGAAATCGGATCGGTGAGCACTAGCGTACGCAAGGGTGGTGGTTGGGGAGGGGGGTTGAGGTTGAAACCCCCTAAAATTTATAAGCTAAGCGACAATTTTGGACCATAAACAATAAATAATAACAATAAAAAAGATCATATTATCATATTTATACTTCGTATAAATATTTTCACAATAAAGTAATCGAAAACAGAAATTTTTGTAAGCGAATAATATGGGCATTGTCACATCTAATTTTCTTTAAATTTCAAAAAAACCCTCCTCCAAATTTAATTTCTGTGTACGCCATCATTTGGTATATTTTTTTTATAAATCTGATTTATGGATCAATACAATTTTTTTATAAAAATAATAATTATATACTGCTTTTATTCGACATACTTTTTTTTTTAAATCAGACTATTTCCCTATGTACGATATATATATTCTCTATTTCCCAAACCCAACCCTTGATACAGAGGAGAGGTCAAAACTTGAACTAAAATGTATATAGAAGTAGAACTTTTTCAACGTAATTTTTGAAAGTGTTCCGGAAATACTGACACTTTTATATATATATTAAATTAAAGCATACGTAATATATTTTATTATGGAAAAAAAAATTTCAAATTTTAGTTTTTTTTTCATGGTGAAAACTAACATCAAAATTAATAAATAAATAAGATTGTGTAAAAAAATTCTTTTTTATATTTTTAATTTTATGTTATAACTTTTTTAAAAATAAATGGATGAATACAATTTTTTATGATAAATGCTATATATAAAACTCTTTTATTTGACATACTTTATTTTTAAATAAAACTATTTCCCTTTATATATTTATACATTAATCAAGTATATAAATAAGGAAATAGGATATCATGTAGCTTTTGGAATAATCCACCAATTTTTTAAAATTAAACACTATCTACAGATTTGCATCGAAGCGTTTTTTATGTTAGTGATATTAATCACTGTCATTTATCATTATATTTGACCCAACTAAACCACGTCACCACTGTGTCGTGACCTCCTGTGCTGGGTTATTTATGTTATTTTTGGCAATTACAAAAAATATTTTAAAAATTAATTTTTTTCAAGATTTGAAGAAATCGCGTACTGTTACTAGTAAATAATGTAATAAGTGTTTACTTAACATAATATGGACTAACATTTATTACCATAGGAAAAGTGTAAAAAAAATCAAAATTTAACAAATTTCAAAATGGTGTATAAACGTAACTACTGAATTAAAATAAGAGTTTTTGGTATCATAAATTTTTGTATAAAACTTATCTATAAAATAGCTATCTTCAAATCTTGAAAAAATATTTAATAAAAAAATTAATTTTTAAAATATTTTTTGTAATTGCGAAAAATAACATAAAATATAATTTAAATATAGTTGTAAAAATTGATTACAAAAGAAAAGTATAAAATGTTATGTTAAAAGTTATTTTAGTTGTCAGTTAGATCTGTTCCACTTTGAATATAAAACTATAAAGATTGATTTATTTAACCACTTAATTAATCAAGAAATTAAAATAATAATGAGAATGTTTTAATGGTTTCTTTAAAGTTAAATTCAATTAATCAAAATTACTTGTCGACCATAACTATTGGACTAGTATATAGGAAGTTATTGACAATTGTATACCTTGAAGTGAGAAGAGTACAGCAGAAAAATCACTTCTGATAAAAATAATAATACCCCAGTCTCATCTTCAGGTATCACTATAATATATTAATGAAATCAGAAATATTGATTCAAAAATCGTTGTCAACTAGTTCTTTTTTAAATTAAATCATTATTAATTTAATAAGCTTGTTAATTATGTATGTTATCATTTGAAAAAATATGATGCTCTTATAAGATTTAAGAGATGAACATAAAAAATATTTTATAATTGATAAATTAAGAAAACCATGTATTTAAAAAAAAAATTTTCAATATTTTTATTTTTTGTTTAAGTGGTTTATGATAAATGTTTCACTCTGTATAAATATTTTTATATATTATACGTTAATAGAAATATGCTTTTTTCTAAATTATTAAATATTTTTAAGAAAAAATAATAACTAAAAATGTAAACTTAAAATACAGAATTACTAAAAGTTAGGAAAACAATTTAACTAATAAACTAAAAATAATGTTTCATATTGTATGCAAGGTCGCATTTAGGAGTTTTGACACTCGGAGCACTTAATTTTGCCGCGCCCTAGCTTTTTTTTTAATCATACATTTTTTTTTAGAGTAAAAAATGAGCCATTTGATAATTTTTCATTGAATAATTGTACAAAGGTTAGGAATTTTAATAAAAGTACAATTATTTATAAATATCATTTATTAACACAACAATAGTTGACAAATTAATGAACAATTAAAATTTTTTTCTACTTTATACTTGAAAAGTTTTTAGTGATTTCATCATAATTTATTTTGGATGTTAAATCACCTTCAATTGACAAAAGTGCCAAACTATTAAGTCGATGCTCAGACAAACAAGATCTTATTTTTAGTGTTTGATTTAATATGCCCACCCCCTGATAAATTTCCTGCGTGCACACATAGATAATAATATACTTGCATAATAAAAATAATTATCTTAAAATAATTCTTCTCATCGTGCGGACGATTCTGAAAGTTTTGATAGAGATGTTGATTTGGAAAACAATTTAGGTTGGGTTGGGTTGAGAGACATTTCCCGAAAAAATACAAAATTAGAAAAAATGGGAGAATAATACGAAAAAGGTGTCAACTTTGTTATATGAAAAATACTCGAAAATACTGCATATTTTTGTGAAATTAGTCCAGGAAAACCCAATCTTTGTCAACAACGCTTTACCATGATATAACAGAAGACGTATTTAATAACTGTTTACCGAATTATCAATTAATTGATTTTTATTTGCTAAGGTTTCAAGAGGACTCTGTAGCTCATTACACAAAATATAAAATTGTTCATTTATAAAAAAAACTGAATTAACGTACAAGAGTAAACATATGATTTTTTAAATTACTTTTTATCACTTGACTGATTTGAAATCTGTTCAGATGTAGTCTCTATTTCACTTAGCGGATTGGAGATTGATGTTCGTTGATTGCCAAAATATGTAGTTAATTTTTTGGTTTGAGAAATAACTTTTTGTTCTTTTACTAATTTTAATTTAGCCACTTTTTTATAAGCACTACCACATAAACGTTTTCTGCCGTCACTCATTTTAATCAACACGTTTAAATAAATAATATAATATACAAATTAAAAAAACATCTCAACACTTTGAGTCGGTCACACGTAGTCGACTAATTATATTATGAGTCATCTGTACACAACACATTATTAGTGTAACACTTTTAGATAATAATGTTGTGATAAACGAGACAGATTATTCTATTATAACTTTCTTAGTATTTCTTAGTATATTAATCGACTATTAACGGCCGACGACATCCACAAAATCAGTTTAAGGGAGAAAATATCAATATTTTGCTAAAAATAGATGAAAACACGAATCAAATAAATTGCTGGCTACTTCTTTTATAGTGCCATTGATTATAAATAGTACTATGTATAATCAATGCTAATACCTACCTACTAACTGTAGTCTATGTTGTTATACAGATTTAATATATCTTCTTTTACATTTATATTTTTGTGTACGCTTTAAGTTGAAAAATAATTTAGTAATATTTTTGTTAGAAATAGATAATTATGTTTCATAAAAATAAATTGATCTGTTAAAAAAAATTTCAAATTAAATAAAATTAATTTATTTAAAAAAAAATCAAATATTTGTTAAAATTTTTTACGCCCTTCAAGATTTGCCACCCGAGGCAAGTGAGCCCAATGACCCCTCTCTAAATTTGGGCCTGATTGAATGGATAGATTTAGTTGAAAGAACATATTTAAATTTAAATTTAATTTTAATTTTAATTAATTAAACATATAAAAAAAATCAGCACACACATGTAACATAATATTAATTATAAACATTCGATTAAATGATGAAAAAAGATAGATTTGATAAAATGTCTCTTATTAAATACTAATTTTCAATGATTTAATGTCAAAAAAGTAATTTCAAGGGGTTTTTTGTTTGAAAATATAAAATTTCAATTTTAAAATGGATAAATTATTTGACTTGAAGCACATTATTGTTTGTATTTTTTATACTAACCAATCATGATAGTTATGATTTCATCTCGAATTTGTTTATGAGACATGTTTTGGAAATTCTGTAATAAAATCTCTATAAACGTTTTGGATTTGGTTGATATATTTTTTTGTTCTATTTCGTCGTTGTTTATACATTCCTTGTTTTTTTGAATTTCAGCTAATTTACTTTTTATTATATTGTCCGTGAATTCATTAATGATTTTATGACTACGATCATGTTTATGTTTCAGTGTAGAAAATTGAAAAATAGTTTTGTTTAAATACCAGGGATGTGTTATCCTATACTCCCAGACCTTTTTGAGATTATAAAAATTATATGAAAATATAATTATTTTACATTATTTAAAATAAAAAATATTGTTACCAACCGTCATAGTATTAAACAAGTTTTCTATGAATTCATGCTTGACACCATTTTGTGCATTAAATTTTATACCAAGAGCATTTCTACCAATCATTTCCATAGTTGCGTTACTAATTGGTACACTTATATCACACCCTTTTGAATTCTGATTACATTGCATATGTAGAACTTTTAATAGAACACAAGCTTCTTCATAAAAAACCGGTAAAAATGATCTCATTATTGTATAGTTAAATCCTGCGATTACCATTTTTCTAAAATTTTATTACTAATTTATTAAATTATTAATTTTTTCATCAAGTAAATTATATTTTTAAATTTTTTATTTAACCTAATTTATACCACCTTTATAATCTATCAATTTGAAATTGTATTATAGTCATAATATATGACATAAGTTTTGTAGAAACAAATTTTTGTTTTTATTATTTTTAAAATAAATAATTTTAAAATATCAAAAGAATTGGTATAAATTATGTTAATCGTTGTAATATCACAGCTATTAAACATTTGTATTTTTTTAATATTTTCGTTTTTAGAAAAAGTTGAGGTTTTTTAAAATTTTTGGTGTACTGTCTTGAACTAGATATAAAATTGGGGTTGGGTAATTTCAAGTATTTTCTTTCAAGTATATAAATACTGTATTTTAAATCTTTTTTGCTTCAGTATTTAAAATAATACTTTAAATACTTTTATAAAGTATTTGAATTTAAACAAAATATTTTCAAAATACTATTAAATTAGCCTTTTATTGTTTCTTTTGTCATCATTCAGTAAAAATAAATTAGTAATTCTAAAAATGTACAGAAATTTAATTGATATATTTCTATCTGAGTGGGAAGAGGAATACGGCCGGAAAATGTCTAGTTATAAAAATAGCATCACCCATTGTTCACCTCAAGTCTTTACTAGAGAATAGTTTTACACAATTTAATATTCATATTAAGTGTTTTTCGTTTTGTTGTACTTCTGAGGTGGGTTTAATTATGTATATTATCCTTTAATTTTCTCCTCTCTGTTTAACGCTAAATCTTCAATGAAACAAAAGATTTATAGTTCAAAAGTTCCATTTGTTATTGTAGGATATGTTAAAAATAATGTTTCCTTAGGCGTTCTCTCGGTCTCTTCCCAATTTTTCCCCTTCGAAGATGTTGATTATAAAGTCATTGTGTCGGATGATGTATCCTTTTAACTTAAATTTTTTTGATTCAATAACTTTCATCAGCTGTCTTTCATTTCGTACTTTTTTTAGCACTAGCTCATTTCTTTTCTAGTCTATCCATTTTGTCTTTGTCATTTTTCTCCATATCCATAATCTAATGCTTTTAGATTGATTCTGTTTTTCTTGTCAATTGTCCATGTTTTACTGCTATGTTGTTGTTGCCGCTATTGTGCTGTTATTGTTGTTTAAGGTGATGTCTTCTCCATGTGTTATGGGAAGGGTCGTGGTGTCAGCCTTTGTTTTTGGGCTAGCAATAGTAGTAAAGTGGGTGTAGAGTCGGTACGTGCTTTGCGGTTGGGTGCTAATGTAATGTGTGTTTGAAGAGCGTTGAGCGTCCCACCGTGTCATTAAAAACCGCAGCGTAGTTTTTCACAATCTATGTTAATAATTCGCACGTACGTGGATCGCCTGCTATATCTAATTTTGGCAGATCTATATTATTAAAGTTGTGGAGACGCTTGCTTTCCAGCACGCCATAGTACTTCGTTTCGCGCCAATATGAATTGTACATGCAGCATAATCCCAAGAAACTTCTTGATCGGTCAGAAAATAATTCCCTAGAAGTACGTTACAGTATAAACTATTCAAAATCACGGCCGTCAAATTAATTGTCAGATGTGCGACATTCGCGGTAGAAGTAGCGGTGGGTGTCGTGTGGCTGTCTGTAAGTCTAACCGCGCGTGTGGGTCCTTCGTGCACAATTCCGTATTTATGGGCTATTGCCGGGGTGGTATATGACTTTTACCTTGTGAGTCAAGTAATGCCATCACAAATCCGTTGTTAAATTCAAGTTCCACGGTGGGAGTTGTAATTTTACGCGGGCGTGTATGTTTGGCAAAACTAGGATGAGTTGCGGTTCGAACGGAGAGGGTATGAACGGTTTGCCCGCCGGCGGTATCAATCTCCATAAGCGGGTAGGCAGTCTCAGCTGGAATTCCCTCCCTCCTGTGCTCAAAATAATTTAGGGAACACGACTCGCGCTATTTTCATGTGATACGGGGACTTTTGTTTTCTCGGTTGCACGATTAATTTTTTTAATGACCTTGAGGATCGCGCCCGATTTCGTTATCGGCGACGAGCGAGCTGGTCGTTCTCGCTGCGCGTTGTTGTGTGTTAACGTGGTGGTGGTGGTGGTAGAAATTGTGATTGTGTGTCAGGTTAACTGGTCGGTGCTCTTCCAAGCATAGTGTACGTCCCTAACCGTTTTTCATTCTAATTAAAAAAACTGAAAAATACAAGTTGTTGTATGTTTTTGTTATTCGGAAATACGATATCAACAATCGCGAGAATATGCGCTTATGCGTTCCCGTATTAACGTCAACAATGCCGTCCGTTTGTATTTTTATTGTTATTGCTGCTATAGTGTTATACTATAACATTACAGTATAGCACTGAATTGTATTTGGGTATGGAATTACTAAGACAGTGATCGTAATCTTTATGATCGTAAAGGCAGAATTAATAATACAAACGGTTTTATGGGAACCGGCCGCCAAATGTTATATCGAATGCGTTAATACGAAGTGTGCAATATCTGTCTATCGCTGTCTTTGCAATGTAATGTGTATCAGCGGCGGCACATCGCGCGTGCGATAAAGATTGCATAACAACTGGTTAATCTACTTGTTAATATTAAAATAACTAAACGAAGTGGAATTCTATAAATTTTGCGCTATTGACAATTCATGATAACCTGGTGGGAATTCACTGCTGTCACCAGTCAATTGTGTGATTAAAATAACTTGGAGAAAAGGGAATGAGAAGGAAACCTAGCTGTCTTATATACACAAAAAAAGAGAAATAAAATAAAAATAAAGCCAATAAATGGTTTTCTTATCTAAATCCAATATAAGACCGGTTGAGATACTTACCGGGGAGCTATTTCACAAATTATAATATAAAATATAAAATATTCAATATTTTTTTCATACTAAATTTAATTCTCGTATTATGTTTTGTTTATGAATTATACTAATACATCATAAAATTAATTATTAAATTATAAATAAGGAAATAGGAGTTGATATTGCTTTTGGAATAATCCATTAGATTTTTTTCAAATTAAACACTATCTACACAGAATTGCATGGAGCGATTTTTATGATAGTTATTTTAATCACTGTCAGATCAACAGTTCTACAACAGATTTAAATGTCAATGAAAAAGAAATTTGGATATATTAAAAATTTGAAGATTATTTTTAAGATGTATCTGTTTTAAATATTTTTTCATTGAGTATCTTTAGCCTTATTTAAGATACATTTTCAAAGGATTTTTTATATGTCTGATTATTTATAAAATAAATTGGTATAAATTAAACAATTTCTTAAAAGTTTGAGCAGCTCAATTTTAAATTAAATTAAATTAACCCACTCTTGTCATTATTTTTTGTCACAGTAGATTTTGGTTTATTCTTTATCAAATAAGGTGTAGTAGGACCAAGCAATCATAGTACCTGAACATATTTTTCAGAAGTCCATTTTTCTATAGGGAGCTATTGTTAGATTTATCTTTGAGTATTCGTTTTTACAATTTATAAATAATTATCAAAGTAGAATATTTTTCACAATATATTCATGGATAAACAGGTTAATTAATTGTAATAAAAATTATTTTTGAATTTCGTGCACTGCAGTTGCTTTAAGAATCACTTAGTACTGCTATGCTTCCGATATTGTTTTCATTATTTTATAAAGATTATATAACATATTATCTTTTAATAAATGTAAATTCAATAAAGGCATATATTTTTTTAAGAGTTTTTTAAAAAAAATACATTATAAATCTAAATTAAAAAAAAAATTGTTACTTGAATTATTTCAAATTTTGCTTACCTATTACTTTTCCATTGATTTATATTATCAATTGAAAATATTCCTTGGCCCATTATAGATTCTTGTAAAACTAAATACTCTCTAGATTTTCTTTTAAATTTTGGATTAGTAATAACTTCTTCTATATCTTCTGCGTTTGTTAAAAATACATAAAGATAATTGAAAATCCATGTTTTAATGGTTGTTTTTTCATAACTAAAATAGTATACAGTGTTAGCGAAGAGTTTATAAACCCAAATCCTTTTATCATACTTTGGTGATAAAAAAAAAAAGTTCTTATGCAAAAAATGTCTGCATGATAAGTCCTCTAGAAGAACAATTTTTAATTTTATTTGAAGACAAGTATGAAAAATAATAAATAGTTCAAAAATTTATACTTATATCAATGAAAAATTCTCTATTTTATTATTAACATTAAATTTGTATAAATATTATGTTTAATATATTTTTTTTTAATAAAAGAACTTAATGAAAAAGAATAATATCAAAAAATATACCAATTTTAGCGTACACATATGTATAGCATAATCTTTAAGAATTAAAATTGTTCATCATAAAAAATAAACGAGGTTATTTTTAACTTACATTTTGTATAGCTCAAGACCTTTTACTAGCATTTTCTCCGGAGGAAGTGTTACAATAGATAGTAATCCATCTAGAAACCAACCATCTGGTCCTGGTATTTTTTTGATTAATTCAAATTTTCGCCAATTTTTCGCCTTATAAATAATATATAATAATATAATAGAAGCCAAAATGATAATAAACACAAAATGAAGTAAGCTTGTATTGTAAAAATTCATGATCTAAAAATATAAAGTAAATAAAAATTAATTACATTATTTGAAGTAATTTATTACATACAGAATATTGCTTTCTAAATCGGTGTCACGAGTAGTAAAATGATATTAAATAGAACTCAAAAAAAAGCGAAATTAAAAACTAAAATTTCCTATCTATAAAATTGAGAATTTTCTTGTTCCATTCTCCGAATTTTATCTAAATTAAATATAATTAGTGTCACTATATTTTCCACGAAATCCTTATACAAATCCTGGGATTACTGGATTTTTTGAAAATTTTGACTCTTCTCACAACTTTTTACTTTAAGTATAAAAAAGGCCAGCACAGGGGGGTCGTGGTACAATGGTCACGTGGCATAGTTGGATTAAGTATAATGAAATCTGACAGTGATTAAAATCACTATCAAAAAAAACGCTTCGATGCATATCTTTAGATAGTGTTAAATTTTAAAAAATTGGTGGATTATTCCAAAAGCTACATGATCTACTATCTTTTTATCTTGATTAAGATAAAGTATGTCGAATGAAAAAGGGATATAAATACTACTTATCATGGAAAAATCGTTTTGATCCATACATTTTTTAAAAAGTTATAGCATTTTAAAGTAAAAAATATAAAATGTAAAATCGAGAATTTCCACACAAAAATAGCATTCAGTAGCCATTTTCACTGTGAAGACAAAATAAAACCCGAAATTTTTTTTTCCATATTAAAGTACATTACATTAGCTTTAATTTAAGATATATATATATATATATATATATATATATATATATAAAAGTGTCAGACTTTCCGGAACACTTTCAAAAGTTAAGTTGAAAAAGTAATTTTTTTGTGAAAAAGTTGTCATTTTAAATCCCCCTGTGGGCATGTAAAAGGTCAGATTTATAAAAAAAATATACCAGTAGGTAAAAGCATCAAGCATCTAAAAAAAAAATTATATAGATTTGTTCATTTTTGAAAAAGTTAAGGCAGTTTTAAGTAAAAAAAATTCAAAAAATTTCGAAAATTAGCGATTTTAAAATTTGTAATTTTTTTGAGGTTTCCCCCATTTATGGGGAACAAAGGATATTTTTTCAATTTTTGAGGGTAATGTCTTCAATTAGATACAATTTGTGATCTTTTGACGTATTGTTGAAAGAAATCGGTTCGGTTAGAGCTGAGAAAATGAGGTAACAAACACACAAAAAAAAAAAAAATCATAGTAAAACTAATACCTTCTCAGCTTCACATCGAAGCTAAAAAACACATCATAGTAAAACCAATACCTTCTCAGCTCGCATAAAAAAAACTCACTTTAGTGTGACTAACAAAATTGTATTGAAATTTTAATGAGAGTTTCTTAATGTCTTCTTCTTTTTTCTCACCTTTATCCTAACTACTTGGGGTCGGCCACCCTTATCCTAAGCTTCCACTTGACAAGATCTCCCACATCATTTACGCTCACATCAGCTGTCCTCAAATCGCATTCAATAGCATCCCTCCATCTCTATTTTGGTCTTCCTCTACCTCTTTTTCCTTCAACATTCATTTCTATAACTGTTCTTACAGCTTCCAATTCTTCTCTCCTCATAACATGACCAAACCATATAAGTCTATTTTTCCTCATCTTATCCATGATTGATGCTACACCTATACTCCCTCTTATATGCTCGTTCCTTATTCTATCTTTTCAGTCACTCCACTCATCCATCTAAGCATTCTCATCTCTGCTACACTCATTCTCTGCTCTACTTTCTTAACACTTTGAACCATACATCATAGTTGGCCTTATTGCAGTCTTGTAGAATTTACCTTTCAGCCTCATTGGAATTCTTTTATCGCATAAGACGCCAGACGCTTCTCTTCACTTCAACCACCCGTACTTAATTCTATGTCTTACATCCTATTCAATACCACCACTCTTTTGCACAACTAAATACTTAAAACTCTCCACCTCTCCAATCACGTCCTCGCCTATTGTCACTGGTCTCCATATTTCACCTACCTCGTGTTCTCCTTTATCAAACTTATATTCTATATACTCCTACTTATTCTTCAACTCTTTCAAAAGCTGATATTCATATTTCACCTGAGAGTTTCATGGTGTAACTCATTTTTAGTTTAGACTGTAACATAACAAGAAACCCACTGATAATTTGAAATTTTTTTAATCACTAGAGTTTATTTCGTCTTTTATTGGTTAATTAACAAGATTACAGTTTTCCTTTTTAAAACTGTACTAGACCTTCGAGTTACTAAAATCATATTTTTTTTTCTTTTTCAGTTTGGAAAATTACCACAGTAGATTAATATGTTGTTTGAAAAATTTTAAATTCAAATAATTTATACCCGTTTCATTTTCCGAGAGTCCAGTAACTCTTATTGCAAAGACTATGATTTAGAATAAATCTTTAGTTCATAATTTTCATATTATTTTACATAACTTTTTATAGCAAAATAATTAAAATAAATGCGTTAGTGAGTGGATTTCATAGTGATAAAGTGTTAATTTAAGTTAAATTAAAAAATTATTAATATTTTAAGTGAATTTTAGTGGTCAACGATAAATTAATTACACAGTAACAAAAGTCAGTATTACAATAGTCGAGGTTGGGCATTAACTCGTTAAAAAGTTATTTTAATTAAGTTAAATAACTCGTTACTTTTTTAAGCGAATTAACTTTTGACTTGAGTTTGTTACATTTTTAACTTAAATAATGTGTTAACTTTAAGTTATTTTAGTATAGCATAATTCTAATTACATTAAATTTGTTTTTTACGTTTCTCGATTTGTTTTCTCTAGTCTTGACTTCGTATAATCTAATATTTATTTTAAATATAAATTTTTTACTATTGGAACAATTTGTTATAATACTGATTTAAATATTTCCTAAAAAGTGGACAATGCATCATATTGAAACAATAAAATATTCCTTATCATGTTTAATTTTAAATACGTGTTTATTATTATGCTAAAACACGTTTAAAGATAAAATGTATTATATCGTATATAATAACTAAGGAACGTAAGGGAAATAAGGCCTATCTGGGCCTTATTACTGGAACATACTTTATATTAATACTTTAATTGTACGCCAACTATAAAGCTATCTAACATTAAATGAGAAACACGTACTCCCATAGCACACCATCAGCACCTTATATGTTTAAATATAGATAGATGGAATATTCATTAATATCGAAATGCATTGTAGAATATTGATGTCGTTATCAGAGTAAAATGTTGTTTTATTAGAATTCCGTGATTTAAGTTCATTGTTATTTATTTTTTGTGACTTACATTGGCTGTTTACATGAAGTGTAAATTTATTATACATTTACGAGGAGGTCAATGTAGAGAAGAACAAATAATTGTAGTTTTTACTATTTTTCATATAAAAACTTTTGTGTTAATATATTTTACAAATTAACGAGAGAGAAAATGGGATATATTAGCGAAGCGAATAGCTCTCATCAGGACTACGAGTCCCTGGCATATAAATTGCAGCAAAGTTTATATATCTCTTATAATAATTATCAGAGAGCGTCTTCTAAATTGATTGAAGAAGTCATAGGAAATTATTCTAAACCTAATTTTCTATTTTCTATTATTTGAGTGTATAATAAGAAAACAATTTAGTTATTTAACAAAGTTAAAAAAACTGTTTTAGTTAATTTTCAACTTAGCATTATATTTTTGGAATTAACATTATTTAACGAATTAAAAAATTATCTTAACTTGCCCAGACTATATATTTAAAAAGTATCCTACATAGTTTAGTTAAAGAAACGGGTGGTCTAACTTAGGAAATTGGTTGCTTGATTTGGATTACTCTGGAAGTTTTCTTTAAATTAAAAAAATAACATTTTTAATTGATCCATTAATTATTCTATGCTATATAAAGTATATATTTGTTCAATTTATATTAGTAAGTACCGTCAAATGGGCTAACTTGGAGCGGAGGCTAAGTATTATTTATCACTTTAGTCGTATTAATCTATAGCACAAGTGAAAAGTTTAATGAAATTGTTAAGAAACACAAAATATTTGTTTGCAAAAATTAAATGATGAAATCTAGAAAATATATAAGTTTATTATAATCTCCAAGTAGCCCCATTAAATAAATATGCATTAAATCAGGAAAAAATGTCTATTATTGGGAAAATTTCTAAATGTGCTTCAATTTTCAACAAAATTTTTTTATAAAATCGTTTAGTAACATTCCCTAAAAAAAATTATTTGCGAAGTTTCGAAAATTATGCATCTTGGCCATAAAATTATTTTTGCTATGAAAAATAATAACCACTGTGTTAAAAAGGGGGTTATTGATTTCATATTATTTTTTGTAATATATTTATTTTAAAAAAAAATTCCGTTTGTGAGATTTTTGTATAAAAAGACTTTTTTTTTTTTTTTAAAAAAAAAAGGATAAATTATTCCTAAGACTATCAATATTTGCAGTCTGTACTACTTGGCTGCTTTAACGTGTATCTGCACCGTATTCGCAAAGCGGCAGAAAACACTCTGCACACCCTCTTACAATGCGAGGCGTGGGACTCTTTAGAGTTCCGAATTGGGTCCGCGTTCCGAGTTGGGTTCACAGTGGACCTGATTTTGGGGAGCCGGGAGGCGTGGAGCCTCGTCCAGGCGTTCGCCGAATTTGTCTTGAAAAAGAAGGAGAAAGCGGAACGTCTGAGACAGAGGCAAGAAGACCTAAGGCGCACAGTGGGACCAAACGCTGATTTAGCCGGCCAAAAGTACCATTTTTAAATCAACTAATAAAAATTTTTTTTTTATTATATCCTTATAAGGTCATGTACAAAAATTCAAGGCCAAAAATTGATATAGTAATGGTTGGGTGCTATTTAAATATCATAACACTGTATTTTTTTGTTATTTTTCTAGGATTTTTATTATTTCTTCAATCATTTTTTCCTGCTTAATTAAAAACCTAAATTTTTTTTTTTTTAATTTAAAATGTTTAAAAAGTCATCGGCTTTCAAATTTACTAAGAAAAAATTTTTATTTCTTTTTTTTTTTAATTTTAATAATTTTTTACACACAAAAAAATGCAAATACTTATTTTACATTGTTTTTTAAAGAGTTTAACTCAAAATTACGCAATATTACGATTACACCAATACATGCATGTTGTAGAAGAACTCTTAAGCTACAATTACAAAAAAAAAAATTTTGCGTCAGATTGCATTTGAGCCCTGCACATAGAATTTCCCTATAATAAACGTGTATTTTTGTAAAAATTGTAATTTTAATCATTTCATTGGTTTTATCAGTTCGATCAACTTTATCAGCTTAAAAGTTGTAAAAATTAGATGTAATTAAAACTAATGATTCGTTAAAATTAAGTTTAAATAAAGTTTTTAATAATACACATAAAATAAAATACTATTATTACCAAAATATTTTTCTGTTTAACCAGATTGTGTTACATGTTACAAACGGCGCATCACGTCATAATAATTTGCACATATTTTTTATAAGTTTCACAGTGAATTAATTGCAGTTTTGTTTTAATTTAAAAGTTGTAAAAATTATTCTATTATTTTTAAATAATGGATAATCAAGTAGTATGTGGTAAGTGTTAACAATAATAAACTATATTAACAATAATATAATAGTATTTCTAAAATAAAACAATATTTAGTGGCACAGTAAAATTGTATAACTTATTTTATTTTATGTGTATTATTAAAAACTTTATTTAAACTTAATTTTAACGAATCATTAGTTTTAATTACATCTAATTTTTACAACTTTTAAGCTGATAAAGTTGATCGAACTGATAAAACCAATGAAATTATTAAAATTACAATTTTTACAAAAATACACGTTTATTATAGGGAAATTCTATGTGCAGGGCTCAAATGCAATCTGACGCAAAATTTTTTTTTTTGTAATTGTAGCTTAAGAGTTCTTCTACAACATGCATGTATTGGTGTAATCGTAATATTGCGTAATTTTGAGTTAAACTCTTTAAAAAACAATGTAAAATAAGTATTTGCATTTTTTTGTGTGTAAAAAATTATTAAAATTAAAAAAAAAAAGAAATAAAAATTTTTTCTTAGTAAATTTGAAAGCCGATGACTTTTTAAACATTTTAAATTAAAAAAAAAAAAATTTAGGTTTTTAATTAAGCAGGAAATAATGATTGAAGAAATAATAAAAATCCTAGAAAAATAACAAAAAAATACAGTGTTATGATATTTAAATAGCACCCAACCATTACTATATCAATTTTTAAAATCATCTTACATTTGATGTTATATTTTGAAAGTTTTGATAAATAGAATTTTTTTCTTTTCTTTGAGATTCGTTTATGGCTGTAAAAATACATTTATCAAAATAATGAAAATATTGAAAATGTTAATTTAGAAATTAGTTCATCACTGTGTGTATAAAATAGAATATGTTTGAATATTGAATACTATTGTTAACGAAAAAAATTCACTTTATAACGTAACATAGTATTACAAATATGAGAAAATAATTTTTTAACACTATTTTCTAGTTATTAAAAATAATGTTTTTATTTCTTTTTGCATATTAAGAGTATAGAAATCCAAAAAAATAAAATATTTCAAATATTGTAACGAGTCTACAAATTTTAAGATAGCATACGTTCACTATGAAAAATTTGTATACAAACTGCTGCAGAAAAATCAAATATCATAAAATTAATCTTACCGGTTACATTTTAAAAATAATTTTTGAAACATCTACATTAATTAATTAATTTATTTTTAATTAAAAAAACACTGAATTAAATAGTTTAATTATAATTTATATTAATTTTAAACAATTATAAATAGAGAGGTTGTTTAGTTATTTTTTGTAATGTAATAGTTAACAAATAATGGTAACATATTAAAAATAAGAAAAATTAAAAAATAAAATAAAAACGATTTTCTTATAGAAAATATTAAAAACGGGGTATAAAATGAAAATTAAAACTTACTTTCTGTGAAAATAAATTTATTAATATTGTCTTCTGTTTAATGAAATAAACTACAAAATAGACTACTAGTAAAATTGTGAAGTATTAAGACTTGTAGTGTTAGTTTATATAAATTTCCCTTTCTTAGTTCGTAGAGTGATACTGCATAACTACCATATTATGAATTAGATACGATTTCAAACTAGAGCCATTATATTATTAAAGTAATTGTATTAAAATAATAAATCCTTGAATAAAAACTTTCCGAATATTCATCATTTGATTTTCGTAATGTAAAATTGTTCCACGTGGTAATCGCTAAATACAAAAAAGAACACTGTTTTCCTTTTCCAAAAATAAAAAAAATTTAATTTGTTAAAAATTGATCCAAAATGTTTACTATTAAAAAAATATTTTATTTATATCAATAATTACATATCTATAGCTTTATAAATTTGTAGAAATTCAAATTTTTACCTGAAAATGTACGGTAACAAGTGTTGTAAAGAAAAGGGCAGACGAAAACATAACAAAAATAAAATCAACTGTTAATTTTTTCACATTACATTTTGGTTATAGATATTAATTTTTTTTCCATGAAAATTATTAATGTTTGAATGATAGCCTATAATTAAATTGAAAAAACTAATAGTAATAATATCTATGCAATCGTAAGATTTTTTTTTGATTGTGTTCTCGTCCGACTTTTTTTTTCACAACATAGACCAACGATTAATACTGTAAATTATGTAAATATTCAAATTCTTACAAATTTCAAAACTCAGTAGAAAATTAACTACTGTACATTAATAAAATATTTTTTTATAAATATATTTTATTTTAAAATCTATTCCACAAAATTCATCTTAAACTTTTTTAGATTTTTCTTAAATTGAAAAAATTTTTTTTTTGTTTTTAGCTGAATTATGATTATTTTAGCTTCAATTCGTAGCTATTGGTTTTACTTTGCCATGTTTTTTTTTGTGTCTTTATACGCCATTAGTTCCGCTCTTACTGGGCCGATATTCTTTTACAGCACTTCAAAAGATCATAAATCGTTCTTTGTTGAGGCTATCATAAATTCGAAAAATTTCTCTCAGTCTTGATGATAAACAGAAATGAATTAAAAAATACAATTGTCAAAAAACAGTCAATGTTGATATATTTAGTTTCATTTTATAATGAAATAACTTTTTGACAACTGGATAAATTATTATGACATTTTTATTGATAATACTTCAGACATTTGCTTGCAGACAAAATATATTTTTTTTAAATTCAATCTTTAATTAAAGTACCTAAGAGAAATTAAGAGTCATATCAAATTTTTTTTCCATTCAATTTTTTATTATGTTTCAAAAAACTTACCTTTTTTAAACTTATAATTAGTTTAATTTGATAGAATATACTTTATGATAAAAAAATAAAAACTATCCAAAATCTCGATTTCAAGGAGTTCTTAGGCATTTAAGCCAAAAGTCACACTAATTTTTGCAAAAATATTCAACTTTGTAACATTATGCACAGTAACGAAACACATACATTATTCTAAGCTATTTTAAATTAAAGTTTGTTTAATGTAATACATGATTAAAATAAAAAACGTTCCTGTAACTTGTTCTCTGCGAGTAATAAATCTCTTAAGTCAAAAAACATGCAATTTTTTGTAGATATGTTAATTTTTTTTTAATATTTTTACAACTATATCAAATATCAATTAATACTAATTTAAAAATGCCTCAACATTATATTACTAGATGACTACAGTATTTTACATTATATAATTAGAATCTATAGGTTATCTATAAGTATTAGACTTAGATAGTTTACTTATCAAAATTTAATATTTGTTTTTGAATTGGATTATTAAGAATAATATTTAAATTTAAAAAATATGGCCAAAATTGGGCACTTTGAGTAGTTTATTATAAACTACTCGATACTAATTCAATGATAAAAATAATAACAGTAAAAAAAGTATTTAATGACTTAAAAATGGATGTATAAATAATTATAAACAAAATAAAATTTTTTCTTAATTATTATTTATTAGAAATTTAATGGTTAACAATAAATTAGCCACTCATTTAAATACACAAATATTTTTGTATAGCTATTTTAATTAGAATGAATACAATACATTGATTAAGTTTATGCTTAATCATAGAATGACAAAATAATATATATGTATCATATTTTTGTGTAAGTTACTTGTTAATTAATACTAAATACGTTATGTGTTACAATATTATTTGTTTCTTCTAAATATTGTCTACTGAAATATATTGTTTTTTAGAATTTATATAGAATAGCAATAAAAACAAAAAAATATATTTTCATTATACAAAAACAAATCGATCCATAATAACCCGCTTTTGACGGGTTTTTGGCCACATTAAAAATACATTTAAGCTGTTTACAAAAAATTAAATTGTGAATATAATATATTATATGTCTTAATACTTTTTATCTTAAAGGGACGAAATGTTATTCGTAAGATTTATGACTNTAAAGGGACGAAATGGTATTCGTAAGATTTATGACTACTCATAAATCTATTATGTAAAGTCTCACCAAACCATCTGAGGCCGAGGAATTGTTACTTTTTGTCTTTCTTTCTTTAAAAATATCTTTTAATAGTTTATTTTAGTTTTTATTTCGAAGAAAAATAAAATGTAGGAAAAATGGTATTATAGTTGAAACCAGTTCAGTTTAATGTAGTTTATTCGAAACTAAATGATTAATAGTTAAATTTCTAATGTTTCACCAAATTGAACACATAATAGGTAATTAACTACAATGATGTCAAAGCTTCCGTGGCAAACGTATTATTTTAGATTAACCCTTTTCATTCAATTATTTTATAAAGTAACGAAACAAATGATATAAATTTTACAGTTATATCAAGAGTTCAGTCCTATAAAGTTTTAACCATCGAACCTGAATTAAAGGTCAATTAAGTTCTATAATTAGTTTTGGCTTAAGACACTTGGTTACTCAGTTATTCGACTAATTGTTGAGAAAAATGTACAAATATTTTGCAAATGACAATTGGACACTTTATTTAGTAGTCAAAACTAACAATTAAATAATGAAATAATTTCCATACATAAAATCTAATTACACCATTGTCTTAAACGTTAAAAATAAATAAGACCGTTTATTTTTTTTAACCCATAAAAGCTGTTCTAAAAAAAGATTTATAAAAATAAAATTATAGATTTTTCAAATTGTTGTGGTTTATGTTTATTATTTTCATAATTGTGCTGCTTTCAGTAAAAAATAAACAAATTATATTTTTGAATTCCTCACTGAATTATCTATCTTTTAGTAGAAATTTCATAATTATGAGATTAGCCTAATTATAGTTATAGTTTATGGTTCAGCTTTTTTTCTGAATAATGCATATCGTACTTAAATTTAAAGGTCTATAAAAATGGGTAAACTTGAAGAATTTATTATTTTTTAGTTTTTTTATAATACAGTAGAATTCCGATAATCCGGCACGTTCGGGACCGGTTCCGTGTCGGACTATCGAAAATTCCGGTCTATCGGGTGGTGCCCTTTACTTTTAGTGAAGGCTTTGCAATAAGAACAATTAGGTTAATAATTAAACTAAAAATACAATAAGAAAATACAAAAAAGTTTGTTTTACATTTCATATAATTTATGTGCAAGTACTGTAATACATATTTCATTTAGATTTAAAAAAGTCAGGAATGACTTTTTATTTCTTGACTTTTGGCGTTTTGTATAAAATTTATATCTAATGATATGGAGATCAATAATTTCTGAAGCACTGTAGTTAATACTAGCCTCAGCAAGAGATAAACTTATTTAGTGATTCTGTAGCTTCTGTCCAGCTGATTTGTTCCTTTTCTTCCGTTTCGGCATCTAAGTCACTTTCTTCAAGATTTTGAGTAGGCTGAGGGTTTACGACACTGTTGATAATGTTCTCATCGGTTAGTTCTTGTTCAACAGGCTCATTCTCGTCGATTAGAAGCCACTCCTCTACCTCATCTTCAGGCAGGTTTTTTAAGGGATTGTCAGCGTTTCTAACGACATCCAAAACTTTGGTCAGAGCGTCTTGATTGTTTTCTTTCTCATCAGTCTGTAGAGTTAGGTCAGATGCAGGGTTACGTGTTTTCGTTTCTCTCCTTTTGAATTCGAAGGATTAGGTTTTGAAAACATGGTCACTGTACAGTTAGAACGAAACTCATTTTGTTTATAAACAGTTTCAAGAGTTACGTACGTCACTACAGATGTATGAACTGTATTATAGTAGAGAGTACTGAGACACAGTTTACTACAATGTAAAAGGACACAAAACAACAACGCATAAAAAAATAGCGAAGACGCTTCGTGATTGATTAAGTGTACTGCACTGCACCTGTATTTGTTGTGATAGCTGAGACTAGCCGGCCGCTAATTGTTTCCGAACAATACTGTTGAGGCCGTGTAATACAACTTCCTGTTATCATATTTTAAGCGCGCGTTCAATGTACTCGGACCGGTCTAATTTTGTCATATATGATAAAATTAGACCGGTCCGAGTACTACTATGTCCACTACTACGTATTGCTGGTTATTAGTTTTCTGCTCTATTGTAAATTCGTCCGGATGATCCCGAATACCCTGAAAACTTCCAAATAGCTCCTGATCGTTTATATTTGCTTTAAAGACATTTTTTTGGAGATAACCAAAATTTTTATAATTTTCCGGAGCAATGCCGGACTATCGGGTATTCCGGATTGTTGGATGCCGGATTTCGGACTTCTACTGTAATTTAATTGTTTGATTAATAATTAATTCTGAGTATTCTCAAATAGTATTAATATTCTCAAAAACCAGTTGTGATGGAAAAAATCTTAAATCAAATTCGGAATCATGTCAAAAATCATCTAAATATTGTAGGAAACAATTTTCATTATTCGTTGACCTGTTTTATTAGTTGTTTAACATTTATGATCAAAAAATAGAATAGTCTGAACCCGGCTTACAGGTTTATACGTAGTAGATATGAGGCAAATTTGATATTAATATAAATTGACGTCCAACAATGGATTAAATATTTTTGATAATTTTATTCACAGAGTAATGAATACAGTGAGTACTAGCATATTTAAAAGGCTCAGATT